CGCCCGAGCCGCCGGCGCGTTCCGGAGCGAGTACAGCCTGGACAAGCTCTACCCGGCGCAGGGCGGCGGCGACGCGACGGAGCAAGACGGGGTGAGCTGGAGTGTGGGGGAGGGGACAGGAAGGGGAGGGACAACATCTGCAGGGGGCGGGGCAATAGGGGGCAGGTAGTGACCCCTGCTGCCTGCCTTGCTGCATCCTGTCCATGGCTGGTCAGGTGCATGTCCACGGCTGGTACAGGAGGCACTGGGGCAGCGCCTCATGCCAAGGAAGCCTTGTCCCAGCAGCACCCACCTCCAGGTGCCTCCTGGGGCCTGGGAGGTCAGTGGGACCCACCTGCACCCACAGAGCTGGAGTCTGGTACAGAGCAGGCAGGAGACCCTGGATTAGCCGGGGCATTACAGGATAAAGGGGGCCGTGGCAACAAACACGTCTGCCAGGAGCAGGGAGCTTAGCCCCGAGTCTGCAATGGATCCTGGTGACAAGATGGGGCACCACAATCTAGGGACTGGATGAGGCCCAACTAGACCAACACATGAGAAGTGCCTGGCAGGGCTGACAGCCAACCCCAGAAACAACAGCAAAAAGCATCTAGCAGGGAGAGATCTGGGGAGAAGAAGGCTGTAGAGCACAGGTACTCAACACCTGGCCCACAGGCTGGATACAACCCCTGGCACCACGTGATCTGGCCTGCGGAGCTGTACCCAGGTCTGGAAATTCAGTGGCCGGGGCGTGACAGCATCACTTCCCAGCTGACGAATTTCTAGACCTGCACGGAGCCCCCTCAGGCCAGAGGGCATGCATGCAGGGACAGCATGGGGTCCTGATGCTGGTCACAGGGGTGGCCTGGGGGCCCAGTCCCAGGATGCAGGGCAGTGTAGACTTGATCTCAGCAGACAGGCCCTGATTTTGGCACACAAGGGCCAAGCAGGGGCAGAACGAGGCCCCAGGGCTCAATTCCATCCCACAGGGATAGTGCAGGTCCCGATCTTAGCATGCAGGGCTTATTTCAGCCTGCAGGTCAGCTCCATACCACTTGGCTGGCCCATGGGGGAAAAGATTGAGCACCACTGTGTAGGGCAGTATCTGGGCCACACAGAATGTGAGCGCATCTCTTAACAAGAAATAAAAGGAGAATGTGCACTTTAGACTACACAGCGGATGAGCAGATAATTATAGTCCAATCATTTATACACTTATGTATACACTTAACCTGGGCTCTTTACATGCATTTTAGAGCACAAATTCTTGCTTTATCATCAGGCCACAGTTGCTTTAATCACATGCATCTTTTATAGGATCGGACCCAACAAACCATCCCTGATATTCCATTGGGTAAGTCTAGTACATAGGAGAAATGCCTTTTCTTTATTCAAAATGCTTTCAGTGAAGTTCTTTTGATAGCTTCTAGTAAATCAATCAGACTATTTTTAGGGCTTGAGGGAGTTCAATTACCTGTGTAAAAAGCAAATGGTGGTAAATCATTAGCAAAGCGTTAACTTTGCTAAGACCGCAGCTTCCATTAGCGCTGGAAATCTGCCAATTAAAGAAAAGGAATGGATTGTACAGGAAATGGTGTGCACAAGATGCACTGATGAATGGAAGATAATTACACTGGAGGGAAGTGACAGAATGATAGAGTGGGAGCAGCACCTCTATTTTGTACCTTATACCACAGACTGGAAGACAGTCTGCATGATGGTGATAACAGAAAATGGGAGAGATGAGGGAAATAATGCAGGGAAGCAATTACAATTCAGAATGACTTGTGTGATAGAAGCCGGACTCGAGGGGATCACCTTCAGACCTCAGGTTGGGGAGGACCGGGTTAGAGAGCTTCTGGAGGGGCTGGACGCGTTCAAGCCAGCGGGTCCGGATGATCTCCACCCCAGGGTGTTGAGGGAGCTAGCTGGGGTTATTGCGGGGCCCCTGGCACGGCTCTATGAGCAATCGTGGTGCCTGGGCCAGGTGCCAGATGATTGGAAGGTAGCAAATGTGGTCCCCATCTTCAAGAAGGGGAAGAGGGAGGACCCGGGTAACTATAGGCCCATCAATCTTACCTCAATCCTGGGGAAACTCTTTGAGAAGATCATCAAGGAGCACATTTGTGATGGGCCGGCATCAGAAATGATGCTCAGGGGCAATCAGCATGGATTTATTAGGGGGAGATCATGTCAGACCAACCTGATTGCCTTCTACGATCAGGTCACAAAGGCCATGGATGCAGGTGTCGCGGTGGATGTAGTCTTTCTGGACTTCAGCAAGGCCT